AAGATGTTACTGTTTTTAAAATCAGTATGTTTGGAGGCAAAGACTACGACAAACTTAATGTGACAGAGAATACACAAAGTAAGCAGAATATAATGCTGGAAGGAAAACCTCACTCTCAATTTTCATTATTTTTAAGCAAGTTTTCACCCTTTAGCAAAAGTGGAAATTGATGTTTGATAATGCGGAAATTTCTATGTCAAGGACATAGCTAAAAAGATTTCTGGAAGTCAAAGGAACATCAATATCCTTGGGAATTTCTATTTCTGTACTCTAATAGGAAAAGTCAGAATATACTGTGCAAAAACAGCACACTGGGTTAATTTGCATAATTTAAACAGTTCTGCATTAGGCATGTGATCGCAACCTATTTTCAGCAGAAACGCAAAGTTGTTTTTACAAGGAGATGGAAGGAAAAGCTAGAAGTAATGTAGGACATTGCCTAATTGAGAAGGATCACTTTTTAAATATTAGATTTTTTTGATTTTTTTTTAATATTTTGAAGGTAGGGCAACATTCCTTGGAAGGGAAGGAGTCATAGCAGAATTATTAATTTTGGCCCTAAAAATGTTGTTTTGAAGTCATTTTTATGCTCGAGGAAATTAAATATGGCTGCTGCCAAAAAGTAATTTTCACTCACATGGGAGGAAAGGAAATAATAGCAATTAAATATCTAAACAAGAAAATATATCTGTTTTCAAAGTAAATGGATTGTTCTGGTCTTATCTAAAAACACAAAACATTACATAACTTTCCTAATAGCAGCAATTAAAGCAAGTTTGTTAAAAATATAAATTCACAATGGGCCACCCATATAGCCATTAAGAAAATATCTGCAAACTTACATTTTTCCTCATAAGACTATCTTACCAAAAACAAACAATAAAAAAAATCCTTAATCAATCTATATTTGAAAAACAGACTCAAATGTTTCAAGAAGCATCACATGGCATTTTAGGAAAGAAATCCTGTAGATCAACGATATCAGCAGGGGGCCCCATTAAGTTCAAATGAGTTTACTCAAAAGTAAATGTTCATCAGAATTAGTAAAACAGGAGAAGCAAAGTTGAGAAAAATGGTCATTTTGCAAAATGAAGGCTTCTCAAACAGCTATATCAATCCCATTGATATTAGTCAAATCACGTGCTCCTTCCTTATATTTGGACATCAAGAATCTGTTACAGAAAAGCCGTATGAATAAACGCTGGATGGGAGGACAAAGAAGGCTGCAGTTCCTCACATCCAATTTAAGAGCAAATCCCACTGAGCATAGTAATAATTTCTTCTTAATAAGCAATCATACAAAAATTTAGAAAAGATGAAAATATGGCTTATATGTATGGTAAAGTCCTTTTTTTTTTTTTTTACTGTTCCAGAAAGGTGAAAATGAAATTTCTAGCACATTGTTCACTGGAGAGTTATCTAAAAACAGAAAACATTATGATCTCATTTACAAGATCTGTTAGACTTTATTTCCTTCAGCCCTTTTCTTTTCTTCCTTTCCTTTATTTTTAAAACGTACTAAAATCAAAATTGATAAACCTTAAAACATTTATGCCACTTTCCTTCTCCATAAGCACAAATGAAAGATATGATTCTAGCACAAGGTAAAATATATGTATATAATCAGAAGGTAGTATATTTAATAACCTCCTTACAATATGCACTAGAATAAAAATGAAGAACAATTTTAAAGCCATATAGAAAATCATAAGAATGATATATTACCTCAGCTCATTTTGATTAGGAAATAATTCAGCATAGTCAATCAAGTTAATATGGAACATGAAGTATCTATGAAAAGCAGGCAGAAGTTTATTGCCTGATCTCTTATGATGATAGGTGATTAACAGGTGAGATAGACAAAATAAAAATCAGATGAAGAGTCAGAAAATAGCATTGACATTTTCCATTGAATGACAGATCACTGGGTTTATTTGCTGACCCAGATAACAACCAGTGTGAGAAGAATACTTGGGAAGGGAAAGAGAGCAATGGAAGAGAGATCAATTAAAGAAAAGTAAAGAGAAATAAAAGTGATAGGGAACTATGTTGTCAGTAATGTTTTATAAATAAATATGCCTCCAAATTTCAGGCTATAGACTCCATATGAAGAAAACAGTTTTCCTGCTTTAAGAAAGCATAAGATACTGATTTCAAAGGATTCTCAGAACTTTTCAAAGCATAAAATGTTTTGCCCTTGCATTGATTTAAGCCCAACTGCTATTACTTTTTAAATTTGGTATTCATTGTTGGCAGATTTTTGCTTCCCATGACCATAGTTCATTTCAAACTAACTCTTATAGATCTTATGTTGGGTTAGAATTCAGCAGTATACAGAACAATACTCCAGTCAACAGAATTACTCTGCAACTTCATATGCCATATGATCAGTGTATAGTATACTGTAAGATTACTTTGCAATGTGGGTACCATCCATATGGTAACATGGTTATACAAGCTGGATTTCCCAAAGACTCTATAACTATAGAAGGCTTCTCAGTATGCATGCAATTCTGACATATTATTAATAAATGGGGATTTTATTTATGATTTTTATGGATTGAGCACTGCATTGGGATCAAACAATGTTTTCTAAGATTGTTTTACTCCATGTTTAAATAACTCATGGCTATTGAAGATTGGAGATTACAGGAAAGTCTTCTGCATTTGATATTAATTTAATATCAAAAGTGGAAGCTACATGTTTTCTTTAGAAAATAAGATATTTCCATTTCAGGTTCTAATTTTTTTAGGATTAAATTCTTTACAGAATCAGACTACAATTCTTTTATTTATATTCATATGCAGTTCATCAGAAAAAAATATACACATTTTGCGCACACTTTTCTTTAAAATATATAATTGTATATATTTTTCACACTCCGCCCATTTTTTTGAAAGCTGTGCATTAAATAAATTCACATTAAGATGTAAATTGGACAAACATCTCATGACAACCAGGAAAAAAAATGACAGGAGCAGGAGTATATTACCCTAAAATTTGGTGCAGCTCATTCTCATACCAAAATTAATGATTCCTCATTATTGATAAATAAAGCTTATAGTTGTCATCTCATCCTTTGGAGCAAACACAGATCAAAGACAATAGATAATACTTGCCAATAAACAGGGCTTGATAGAAATAGTCTGCAGGCATGAGTTTCATGTTCAATTTCTGGGTTTTTTTTTTATTATGCCCACTCAGCAGTGGCAATATTACCAGTAATCATCTTTAGTCATGGAGATGGACATCCTTTTAATCTGGGATTTTTTGCAATAGTGTAAAATTTTGCAACTGAGCACAAGCTCAATCTGTTGCATAATCAGGTTTGCTTCTCCATTGTGAAATCAAGCTAACAACTCCAAAACCTCTATGCCAATAAGAAATATAATACATGCTTTTTACAAAAAGATGAAGAATCGTTTACCTTTAAAATCTGGAAGGATCTTGTGATTTGAGACTGAACTTTACCCAGAATTCAGATAATTAAGGTAATGGTAAATTATAGCATAAAATAATATAATGTAGTGCCTTTCTTGTGAAAAGTAATTTTGTTCATATGGTTAGAAATAATTGTGAAATCTAATAAGTTGAATTATCTTCAACTTCTGTTTCAATGCCATTCCCCCCCACCCAAAAAAAAAAGCAACTTTGGAAGGCCAGGAGGAAACATTTAAATCATGGTTATAATGAAGGCAAGAAGTTTGATTCCCCCATTGAATTCTGACTATAACCATAGGTTTCTCAGGAGTAATAGCAGCTTGGAAGAGCTAAGCTTGGCCTGGCTGAATCCCTCTTCCTCTTCAGATCATTCCTAATGCAGATGCATTACCATGCATTGGGAAGATAAACTTAAGCTGTATGTTCCAACCTAGGAATTCTTAAGTCCAGTGCTTTTTTTGTTAAAAAAAAAAAAAAAGGTGCCAGAACTCACACACGTCATACAACCCGTCTTTATCTTTGTTGAAAAAAAAAACCTTCAATTTTTAGTGTATTTAAAAAACTAGGATTTTGTTCAAGGTAAGTTAATACTATTAATGTTACCATGCACTGTGTGGCTTTAAATTACAAGAAGGCATTTTATTAATCTTCTGGGATTTTTACCACTGGCATACCCATTTAGTTTAATGAGTGGAAATGTCAGCTTTCTATGTGGAATGAAACTGGCCCAATAAAACAAAATTTGGTTGCTTGCAAAAGATTGAATTATTTTTAAGAAGTTGTCAACCAAGGTGGAAAAATTGACATTTGGAGTTTAATATGGCTATTGACTTGAAACAAATTAAAGTTGAAACTTTGTCAGTGAACAGATTACTTTTAATTTACCTTTAAGTTAAACCCAATTTAATAAATAGATCTGATTAAACCTCATACTGTAGGTCTACCTTTACATCTGACCAATACATAATTAATATATATTATTAATAATAATAATATCTCCAAATCACAAGACAGTGGCTTTATTCTTATCCTTGCCGGGCAAGCTTCCACACCAGCCACCTTTCTTTCCTATTGCTTTGTCTCTTCTTAACCTCACACCCCACCTTCTGTAAGGGAAGGCAAAAGGCTTGCTCACCCTCTCGTGAAAGAGGGCCTCCATCTTTATGTGTCTCCCACAGCCACCATCAGCTTCCACACCACATGGTCCGACCCAGCCAATCAAGCCACCTCTGGTTGTGGTGCTCTGGAGCCTCATGGCTCCTCCTAGAGGAGGCAGACAGTGCTGGAGGGGACCCCGCTCACACTGTACTGCCAGTGGGACATTTTTAAAAGCAAGCAAATATAGGAAAGGCAACACTAAGAAAAGAATGCAACTCCAGAAAATCCGTCGAAAAAAGATGCTGGAATTCCGTTCCGGTGCATTCTATGACAAAAAAAGGCCCTGCTTAAATCCATGTGTACTTTGATCTTGAGTAGTATGCCATTTTTAAATCAGAATAGGAGAGCTGCTGTCTATTAATTATTCTTATGAAAATTACCAAACCTCTGCATTTCTTACCTTTAACCTTTCTGTTACACCATCAGTGAAACTGACTGTGAATTCAGCAATTTTGGGCACTCTAAGTTTTCCTTTGTTCTTCTGGTCTGGTTGATATTCTGTTCTTGTTTTCACAATCACCTAGAAACAAAAATTGACATTTTCAGTTTTCTCCAGTCAAATAAATAAATATATATATAGTTTCATTAAAGAATTGGTTTCCAATAAGTCATCTCTGTGAATATCTTCATGTATGCAGAAGTCATTGCTGTAAGATAAAAAATACACAGAGAGAGAGAGAGAGAAACAATGAAGGTTAAATAAATGAACTGACAAAATTTTCCATGATAGTGAGAGACTAAACTAAGTCAACCTCCCTACTTCCTGCACTTCACATCTGGGGATAAGGAAAGGTGAAAAAAAATAATTTCTTTTATAATTAAAAAAAATACAGGTAACATCTTCCTCCTGGCCTCTGTATTTTCAAAGTTATTATTTTAGTCTCCAAATGCTTCAGAGTGACACAAATCACATGGGACAAGCTTTAGGACTATTAAATACTAGGTAGCTGAACATCAGCCATTCTGGCCCTGAATTTCAGCAGGGATGCTCTGGGAATGGCAGATTAAAGGCCTGAGCCTTATCCTTGACTAATCTGGAGGGTATGGAATTTGGGGAGCCCATTTTGCAAAGACAACATGTAATAAGAGTCCCTTATTTGATAGAATACATCTTATTTAGCCACATCGTATCTTATTTGGCTTATCTAAAGCAACACGTATTCCTCATAATAAATATTTTGTTCAACAGATTCTCAAATTGGCAGTGTTGCCAATTAATCATCCACAAATCAATCGAATGGGAATGATGCACTCCAAATGATACTGAATTTTGTATAGAATTTCTATTTCTATTTCTTTGTCCACCTTCTTCAGGGACATCTAATGACATGGAACAGGGTTGAGGCCATACTAGGTGCTGCTGAAATCTGACTAGCCTAGTATAACAGTCAATTGGATAGAGATAGGCAGCTATAGAAACTAATTCAATTAATAAATATTCTCAGGAAGACATGCATTTGATTTGATAAGCAATGTACATGCCTGTGTGCACTCCAACACTCTTTTTTTATAAATCTAAAGCACAGGTTGACACATGCTCAGAATTTGCACATTCAAAATTTGTATAGAGTACAAAATTTTCTCCATTTAATCTACAACCAATGTTGAAGTAGTTCTAAAACATGCAACAGTTGGTACATGTTGGACAGTGAAATTACCTAAAAGGAGGATGGACAGAAGACAAAGCTATGTACTCCTGTGTCTAAAATGACTCAACTATATCATTGAAGCAAGAACATTTCATTTTAGGATACCACTATGATCTGCTTTAAATTTTCACCACATTCCATAAATATCCTTCTCCCATTTCTATATTTAGAACATAGTGTCTAACCTGGGAATTCTGATAGTCCTACAGATTTTTAAGAACCATTGCTAAAGCTGTTTAAAAATATGTTCGGATGCCACCTACCATGTTTATTAATCCTGTTTATAGGATTAATAAACATGGTAGGTGGCATCCGAACATATATGAGCAATTTCCACTTTAATTCACTTACATTTTACAAACACACACACACACACACACACACACACACACACACACACATATATATATATGGTGAGAATAAAATATGATCACCAGGAAAAGTTAAAACTAATATAAAACAGTTTTAATATAATACTATATATATATATATATATATATATATATATATATATATATATATATATATATATATATATATATATATATAGTATTATATTTTGCATTGGCTTTAGACAGTTAGCTACTTTGGAAGCTATTTTTGGCTGAGAAAATGAGATATAGAAGAAAAACAGAATTATATGTGGATAACGAAACAAAAGTTGGAATTTCATCTAGAATTTAAGTGCCAAGTCAGATGGTTTTGTTCCAGAGGCTACAAAATTTGGAGAGCTGCCATTTTTCACATCAACCCACATATCTGAATAATTATAGACTATCTTTTCTGCATTGTCTTACTTTTAACAACTGGTAAAATCACTGATAATTGAGAATCCATACTTTACATCTTAATGTGTGTGTGTTCCTTCAAAATAGAACTGGAAATGATATGCTTGATATTTACTTCCAAGAGTTATACATGAAAGAAGGCAGGTCACAACTGTTTTGCTTTGAGAAAGAAAGAAAGAAAGAAAGAGAGGGGGGGGGAGGGAGGGAGGGAGGGAGGGAGGGAGGGAGGGAGGGAGGAAGGAAGGAAGGAAGGAAGGAAGGAAGGAAGGAAGAAAGAAAGAAAGAAAGAAAGAAAGAAAGAAAGAAAGAAAGAAAGAAAGAAAGATTATAGTCATTGCCCTTAATTATACATATCTCAGGACAAAGAACTTTTCTGCTGGAAATTTTAAGCAGAATAGATTGCTAATAATTTCTTGTAAATGACTCTGCTTTTTATTACTCCCCTTTAATCCATTTGCTCTCAAAAGTCATTGTTTTATTGGCAGTACCATCCTAGGCCATTTACTCAGAAAGAAAATCCATTGAGATCAATGTGACTTACTCCTAGATAGGTTTCAACAGGAGCAAGTTTAAATTCTTCCCCAAAGTAACAATGGTTTGAATCCTAGGAAATCTTGGTTCAACTTGAGTCTAAGAAGGGTGTGATGCCTATAACAAGGATGAAGAGAGAGCCATGGGCCAAATTATCTAGTTTTGTAACAAGGACAAAATGTGTACTATTTGAAAAATCAATAATTTTCTATTTGTAGTATATTTACAAGAAGATGCCTCAATGTTTAATTTCAAAACTGACAGGCATTACAGTATCTGTGTAGTATACCATCAATGTAAATTCTGCTTCTTAGGGAGATGAAGTCTGAGTAGAAAATGAAACACACTCCTTGAATACTCAGATGCACACTAGTTTCATAAATATATGGAAGAGACGTTGACCAATGTAAAGAGGAGAAAGTTGTGTGCTTTGTTATAAGATGCTCTATTTGTAAAAAAAAAAAAAAAGTATTTGCTTCAAAATTCCAGTTTTAGTTCATAAAATGGAAACAGTGTCCTGTAAATGGTAAAAGAAATGCCATGTGAATTTATTTTCCTACTTTCTGGTACCTGGGAGCATGAAGTTTGATTGCCCATCTTTACTAGCAATACATTGTTTCTGTATATAACACAAAATGTTAATTATTACCTCTAAGTCCTTATATGGCATTGGGCCTGGGTAGAATCTGCCTACGCAAAACAGGCAAGCAGATAATGCCTGCTAAAGCTCCCAACTTACTTGGTGTAAGGAGACATGGAAATAAATATTCTCTGTGGGGGCCTCCCTTTCTAAAGAACCGTTTGTAAGATTGACCCTTATGGTCTTCTGGAGGTTTATGAAGAGTTGGTTATTGCAGAAGGTCTTTGGAAATAGATTTATTTTCTGAAAGAGATGTGGCACCAAGAACACAACCTTCAGATTTATTGTTATTATCACTGTTGATTTGTTTTATTTTTTTCTTATGGATCTCTGCTAAGATTGAAACGGAAAGAAAGAAGAACCCTTCTAGTTTCTATATTCCATCAGATCCTGCAGAGTAGCAAACCATTTTTATTGAGAAATGTTGGGAGAACATATTAGCTCAGCCAACACAAGGTAATTGATGGACCCACTTGGGTTTCAAGAAAGCTCAGGATCTGCTGAGTAGTTTGGCTGGGGCCCTACTCAAAGTTTGGAAAAGCCTTCATCGCTTTGTCTGAAATAGTATAAGGTCTCCTGCTTGAGCAGGGGATTGGACTAGAAGACCTCCAAGATCCCTTCCAACTCTGTTATTCTGTTATTCTGAATAGGCAGCTGGCTGGGGGCCTTAGACTGGAATGCCGCTATGCAGCCTTTCTCCCTGCATAGTTCCCAGATACATCTTGGTTTCTGGGGAGATCTGGGAAATAAAGCCCAAAAAGAGCTGATGAGTTCTGGGAAATGGAGTCCAACTTGTGCTTTGCTTTTTGCATTGCCATAACAAGCATGTTCACAGAGGGTGGAGTTTGCATGTCAACAGCACAATGGTGTTTTTATCATTTTGATGAAAGTATCAGATCCTGCAGACACCTCTTCCTGCCTTATTTATAGTATAGAACAGGTTTTCAGATGTAAAAATGGGACAGTTTTGGGAGATGCCACACATCAATAAATCATTGGCTTATCCAATCTTCCTCTTTGAGATTTCAGATTGGTTTTCTCCCATAAATCATCTCAGAAATAAAGGTGTGTCTTCTTCAAATGCCATGAGGTGCATTTGCAAGCTATCTGGGCTGCTCCACTTTGCTAATCCACATCACACTAACAATTACAAGTCATTGGTATGTATAAATAACCCTTCAATTTTAACAGCACATGTGACTAAAGAGACTGAGACGTCACCAATGAAGTAATAAATATTATATAATACAGAAGTAACACAGATGCAACAGGATAAAGTAATGACAAGTATTTTTAAAATAAAACCGTTGGACTTCTCAGTAGAGGAGAGGTTTGGAAAGCTTGTAAAAGAAAGTGCCATATTACGCTAATAAGATGACAAGATGTCATTAATTCCAATCATTGGCTAGACAACATGGAACTAAGCACTTCTAATTAAGAATTTGGCCTGATTGGTCTTCCTGTTTATATTGAAAGTTCTTGGCAAAAATGAAATGTGATCCTCTTGAGGTGGCCCCCTGCTATTTTGTATCAACAAGTACTGTCTCACTAAATTGAAAAAGCTCTGCTTCCATTAAGTGCGGTGACATCTCTCTTTCCTTTCCTGTTCTGCATTTATATCCCTGGTTGGACCTTGATACTTATTTTCTCCATGCTTTGTAAAGCCTGGATCATTAATTAAAGAAAATTGATCATTAGCACTAAGCTCAGTAATGCTCTGCAAATGCATCTGTGCTCTTTTTATAAACAAGTCAAGCACAACATTCATTCCCTTTCAACTCCTTGGATGTACCTTCCTCCTTCTCTAATCATAAAATGCAATGAAAGCATTATATCAGAACGACCTCTCTGCAACCTCTGATTCATTTTCAAATTTATTTCCTTTGTCTCTCTCTTTTAATATGTTTTCTCT